CTTTGAGATTCCCGCCGCAACTTAAATCATCTTTTAAAAATAGAAAATATTGCGTCATAAAGATAACAAGTCCGCCAATTTGATTTTGGTTTAGAGAGTTCGAAAAGGATCCACCTTCAATTTAATCAACTAGCCTAAAGAAAGATAACATAGTTTTCACTAAACTGTCGCATTCAATTTAGCAATGTTTGCATGCATTTAAAGTGATTGCGATCGATTGCGTTCGCAAGTGCACGCATATGCACGCGATCAACTTACTGTGACGTGAATATATATATATATATTCCACTTTAAAAGTCCCCCCCCCCCCCCAAAAGACCGCCGCAACTTAAATCATTTTTGAAAAAGAGACAAATATTGCGTCATAAAGATAATAAGTCCGCCCATTCGATTTTGGTTTAGAGAGTTCGAAAAGGATCCACTTCAATTTAATACAAAAATAGGGCATGGTGTCGATCCGGGGGGGGGGGTGGGGGATGGGGGGATATATTCCCCCCCCCCCAATATTTCAGGTGGGGGTGGCCTGTACATTACCATAAAAAAGCCCGATGAGAGTAGTTAACGGTTATTACTCGCAAGATGACCATCAATATACACATTTTGCTATCTCATTTCATGATACATACGCAAATGAGACAACCGTATATGAGACAAGAATAAATTAAATTCTCGCTCATACGGCTTCATCAGGAATTGATGAATTTATTCAATTTATTCAATCTAAAAGCTAAATATTAAGCGCGAAGCGCAAAAGTGCAAAAAAAGAAGTAGAGAGTAGGAATAAGAAACAGAGGATACAGGCGCGTAGCCATGGGGGTGTGGGCGGTGGGGGCGGTCGCCCGCCCCCCCCCCCCCAAAAAAAAAAAGAGAGAGAGAGAGAGAAAGAAGAAAGGAGAGGGACGTAAAAAGAAAAAGGATTAAGAGTCGAGAACGGTACAACGAATCGTCTACTTTCTCTAATAATTTAATGAAACGTCAAAGCTTCCGCGTTTCGCGCGGGAACGGGGGGGTGGGGAGGAACTGAATTAAGACATGGAGTAAGGGTCGAGAATGGTACAACGAACGTCTTCTTCTTTAATAATTGAATGAAACGTCAGAGTTCCGTGCTATGCGCGGAGGAATTGGGACTTGATTCATACAAGGATTAAGAGTCGAAAACCGTACAACGAATCGCCTTCTTTCTCTAATAATTGAACGAAATATCAAAGCTTCCGCGCTTTGTGCGGTGGGGGGGGGGGGGGGGGACTAAATTCAGTCAAGGATTAGAGTCGAGAATGGTACAACGAATCGTCTTCTTTCTTTAATAATTTAATGAAACGTCAACAGAAACTAAATTTAGACAAGGATAAAGATTCGAGAGAACGGTACAACGAATCGTCTTCTTTCTCTAATAATTTAATGAAACGCAAAAGCTTCCACGCTTCGCGCGGGAAGGGGGGGGGGGACTGACTTCAGTCAAGGATAAAGAGTCGAGAATGGTACAACGAAACGTTTTCTTTCTTTAATAATGAAACGTCAGAGTTTCAACGCTATGCACGGAGGTATTGGAACTTGATTCAAACAAGGATTAAGAGTCGAGAATGGTACAATACGAATCGTCTTCTTTCTCTAATATTTAATGAAACGCAAAAGCTTCCACGCTTCGCGCGGGAAGGGGGGGGGGGGGGGGGGGGAACTGACTTCAGTCAAGGATAAAGAGTCGAGAATGGTACAACGAAACGTTTTCTTTCTTTAATAATTAATGAAACGTCAGAGTTTCAACGCTATGCACGGAGGTATTGGAACTTGATTCAAACAAGGATTAAGAGTCGAGAATGGTACAACGAATCGTCTTCTTTCTCTAATTATTTAGTGAAACGACATAGCTTCCGCGCTTCGCGCGGGAATGGGGGGGGGGGGGGGAAAACTGAATTCAGTTAAGAATTAACAGTCCAGAATGGTACAACGAACGTCTTATTTCTTTAATAATTAATGAAACGCCAAAGTAAACTGAATTTAGACAAGGATTAAGAGTAGAAAACTGTACAACGAATCGCCTTCTTTCTCTTATAATTTAATGAAACGTCAAAGCTTCCGCGCTTCGCGCAGGAAGGTGGGGGGAGGAAGAAACTGAATTCATTCAAGGATAAAGACTCCAGAATGGTACAACGAAACGTCTTCTTTCTTTCATAATTTAATGAAACTTCAGAGTTTCCGCGCTATATGCGCGGAGGAATTGGAACTTGATTCAAAACAAGGATCAAGAGTCGAAAACGGTACAACGAATCGCCTTCTTTCTCTATAATTTAATGAAATATCAAAGCTTCCGCGCTATATGCGCGGAGGAATTGGAACTTGATTCAAACAAGGATCAAGAGTCGAAAACGGTACAAACGAATCGCCTTCTTTCTCTTATAATTTAATGAAATATCAAAGCTTCCGCGCTTCGCGCGGGAAGGGGGGGGGGGGGGGGGGGGACTGAATTCAGACAAGGATTAAGAGTCGAGAATGGTACAACGAATCGTCTTCTTTCTTTAATAATTTAATGAAACGTCAAAAGAAACTGAATCTAGACAAGGATTAAGAGTCGAGAATGGTACAACGAATCGTCTTCTTTCTTTAACAATTTAATGAAACGTCAGAGCTTCCGCGCTACGCGGTAGGATACAGATCCGCTACTAATATTTCATGTGAATGGGGGGTATAGAAATACAATTTTTGACCCACCTTCAATTCAATCAATAGGCATAAAGTAGGATAACATAGTTTTTACTTAAGTGTCGCATTCAATTTTAGCAATGTTTTCATGCATTCAAGTGATTGCGATCAATTGCGTTCGCAAGTACACGCATATGCGCGAGATCAACTGTGATGTGAATATATTTCACTTCAAAAGTCCCCCCCCCCCCCCCCAAAAGACCCGCCGCAACTTAAATCATTTTTTGAAAAAGAGAAAATATTGCGTCATATAAGATAATAAGTCCGCCAATTTGATTTTGGTTTAGAGAGTTTGAAAAGGATCCACCTTCAATTTAATCAACATGCCTAAAGAAAGATAACAAAGTTTTCACTAAACTGTCGCATTCAATTTTAGCGATGTTTTCATGCATTAAAGTGATTGCGATCGATTGTGTTCGGAAGTGCGCGCAGTCAACTGTGAGGTGAATAGATTTCACTTTAAAAGTTTCCCAAAAGACCTGCCGCAACTTAAATCATTTTTTGCAAAAGAGATAGCGTCTAATATTTTTTTCTCCGCCGATTAGTTATCACTTTGAGGTTCCCCCGCAACTTAAATCGTCTTTTGAAAAATAGATAAATATTTTTGCGTTTTATAAGATAGCAAGTCCACCGATTAATTTGGTTTAGCGAATTCAAAAAGGATCCACTTACAATTTAATCAATATGCCTAAAGAAAGATAACATAGATTTCACTAAACTGTCGCATTCAATTTTAGCAATGTTTTCCATGCATTAAAGTTAGTGATTGCGATCGCAAGTGCACGCATATGCGCGCGATCAACTGCCACGTGAATAGTTTTCACTTTAAAATTCCCAAAAGACCTTTTAAATCATCTTTTAAAAAATAGAAAATATTGCGTCATAAAAGATAACAAGTCAGCCGATTCGATTTTGGTTTAGAGAGTTCGAAAAGGTTCCGCCTTCAATTTAATAAAAAATAGAGTGATATTGTCTAACATATTTTTTCGTAACCGACTAGTTTTCACTTTCATATTCCCGCCGCAACTTAAATCATCTTATGAAAAAATAGAAAGGTATTGCGTCTGATAAGATAACAAGTCCACCAATTTGATTTTGGTTTAGAGAGTTCGAAAAGGATCCACCTTCAATTTAATCAACTAGCCTAAAGAAAGATAACATAGTATTCACTTAAGTGCCGCATTCAATTTAGCAATTCCATGCATTAAAGTGATTGCGATCGCAAGTGCACGCATATGCGCGCGATCAACTGTCACTTGAATAGTTTTCACTTTAAAATTCCCCAAAAGACCCGCCGCAACTTAAATCGTTTTTTGGAAAAAAGAGACAAAAATTGCGTCATAAAAGAAAATAAGTTCGCCGATTTCATTTTGGTTTAGATATTTGAAAAGGATCCGCCTTCAATTTAATAAAAATAGAAAGATAACGTCTAATACATTTTTGTTCGCCGATTAGTTTCCCGCCGAAACTTAAAACGTCTTTTGAAAAATAGAATTGCGTCTGATAAGATAACAAGTCCACCTATTTAATTTTGGTTTAGCGAATTAAAAAAGGAACCGCCTTAAATTCAATCGAAATTGAAAGATAACGTCTAATATATTTTTTCACCGCCGATTAGTTATCACTTTGAGGTTCCCGCCGCAACTTAAATCGTCTTTTGAAAAATAGATAAATATTGCGTCTCATAAGATAACAAGTCTACCGATTTAATTTTGGTTTAGCGAATTCAAAGTCATCCGCCTTCAATTTAGTCAAAAAATGAACGTCTAATATATTTTTTCCCCGCCGATTAGATTTCACTTTGAGATTCCCGCCGCAACAATATGCGTAAGTAGCAACAATAACTGACAAAAATAAAAAAGCAAACTATCGCCAACAGAGGGCGACATTTCATACGGACGGACTGCATTACATTTTAGCAATGTTTTCCACGCACTAAGCTGATCGCGATCAATCGCGTTCGCGCGCAAGTGCACGCGTATGCGCGCGATCCACTGTGACGTTGATCGCAGGCGGAACTGTAGAATATACATTAAGTATAGAAAAGTCAAAATGTTTGTGTACAGTTAATGTCCAGGGTTAAGTCTTATGCACATTCTTTGTGTTTATAATCTGTTTGTTTGTTTCTTAAATTGTACTGAGTACAATATATGACACGCTCAGGAATTGGAATTGTTTAGATTTTTACATGGAAAAAAGTACTGATTTGTTGTCAACTTCTATTATTTTAGTAGAAAGATGTTAATAATGAAAAATTATATCTTGTAATTTACGTGTGTTTTTTTTTTCTTTTCTTGAAACAGCAACTTTTACCAGGATTGTCAATGGGTTGTGAGGCATTTATTGGCAGGTATTTAAAATTCTATACCTTATTATCTATGTCACCTCCCCCCCCCCCCCCTTTCTCTCTCTCTCTCTCTCTCTCTCTCTCTCTTTCTCTCTCTCTCCTCCCCTCTTTCTCCTTACCCCTTTCTCCTCCCACCATCTCCTTCCTCTCCCTCTCTCTCCTCCCCTTTCTCTTTCCCCTCCATCTCCTCCCCCCCCCCTCTCATCCCCCTCTCTCTCCTTACTCCTCTCTATCTTTCTTTTTCCTGCTCTCTGTTCCTCTATCTCTCCGTCCTGTATTCTATATTGAAAATAATATTAGAGGAGTTTTGTATAGCATTCGTGTCTGGCACATTGCCACTTCTGGTACTCCATTATTATTACCCTGGCTTTAGCACAGCTGCCATTACAATTTGCTCAAGCATTTAAAAGAATTAATTCCTGACTGATACCCATTTACCTCACCTGGGTGGAGTGTGGAAGATGTAGATTAATGTTTTGCCAAAGGGTATGAATGCTGCGATAGAGATTGGAACCCCTTACCTTGTGGTTCACAGTCCGGAGACTTATCCATTGGACCACAGTACCTCAATCCCTCTATTACTCTTGATATCTTGCTCTTGGGCACACATACACACACACATCACTCACTCTTTATGTTCAATGTACATCTCTCTTTCTCTCTCTCTCTCTCTCTCTCTTCCATTTCTGTCTCTGACCTTTCATTATTTTTATTGATTGCTACTTAATTATAGAGGTGCTGTGGTTGAGTGGACAGTGAACCACAAAGATGCAGGTTTCGAATCCAGGTGCAACACAAATGTTCTTTGAATTGGCAAGACATTAATCTACATTTGCCACACTCAACACTTGACTTATGCATACATCTATTGCGAGCCAGAAGAATATCAACTCAGTTCTTTAGATACATGCACTGTAAGGAAATTGAACTCCAGACACTTTGAGACCATTTAAAATGGTATGAGTTGACACCCTTGGAGCTGTCGTCAGATGATCTCAAAGTGTCTGGAGTTCAATTTCCTTATTGTGCATGTATTTAAAAAAAACTATACACACTTTTGCACAGAAGGTAGTAAACCTGTATTAAAGGCACATAGTAGTGGGCTCTCATGGGGAATTTGACACCATATGGGTGTTAATTCACCCAATGACAAGTGTTGTCAGTCACCGGGATTAGCTTTCATGTTAATGACCAACAGACCACCAATCATCCCATATTGAAAAGTAGTTCCCGCACCCAAAGAGTTGAAGACTCGCAGAGAGACTAGGGGCTATCTTTCTTGACAGTTTTGCTGTGTGCAATACTTGTACACCCATTAATGATAATTCCACAAAGTCTGGTGTCAGCAAATTATGACCTACTGCACGTGGAAACTGACTCCCAACTCCCTTTAACAGTTCATAATCTTTCATAAATGTTTATCTTGGTATTTTTTCCTGTTTAGTACTTACAACTATCTAGGCAGAGTGGCCAATAGAATAATGACAGCATTTGAGGCCGGTGATATGCCTAGTGCCAGAAAAGAGCAAGTAAGTTTGCATCCTAATAAGCTTGTTTTTATGAATCTATAATATGATTTCCATGAAAACGGATCCCTGTAATAATCTTAATGATGGTGAATTTTAATAAATTAAGTTTTCTTTTTTTCATAGTTCTGTATTTTGTATACTTGAATTCAATCTCAGCATCCTTTTTGCTGAGGTGACAAATTTTCATCAGAAAATTAATAAGTGTATTAACAGGCTGAAATTTAGTATTTTGTTGAAGTAATCAGTATTTCTTAAAGGATTTACACCTGGGCATCGTTTCACAAAACCGTCATAAATGCAAGTTCACCTACACCCCATTTGAATACACACGTTTGGATGGGTTATTGGCAAACTTGTGCTTATGACGATTTTGTGATTCACTGAGCAGTGATAAAACAGTAGAAACATTATTACCGTAATCAATATTTTGTATGAAACTCGAAACATTTTCCCTAAAATTTGTGTGTGAAATACTGACGGTTAGTACTGCATGGGTATCTAGGCAGCTCTATTGTAATATTAGCTCATTTTCAAGAGCATTAATTATTTGTCATCCTTTAAGCCCTGAAAATAAAATCAGCTTTATAAAAATTATTTAAAAATTCAAAAAAACATTATATCAGACAGGAGTACTGATCTTTACCTTGACAAAATCTTAATTATTAGTCTTCGTGTTGGGCATTTATGTTTTCCTTCAAGACGGATGATGCTATCATGAAGACAACAGAAAATAGAATTGTTCTGTTTCTTGAGTTCTTAGATGCACATCATAAACATAGCATGTCAGAAGTCCTTAGCATAATATTATGATAAACAGTTATCTATGAAATTTGTACCGGTAATTGACTTTTCTGCACAGACAGTGTTTCTCATATGCTTTATCTTTCTTTTATAATTCCAGTTCCGAATCCAAGCACTTGTGTCTGTACTTATAAAATATGGTAAGTGTTAAAGCGATACTAAACTGATGAACTTTCTGCTCTAGCATACTGTTCAAAGCCATCTATACACAGAGTTTGGCCAAGTCGGTTCAGGAAACAAAAGAATATACGCCATTTTGTTTCCCAGTGAAACCAAGTTGGCCAAACTCTGTGTATAGATGGCTCTGATACTGTTTATTGCACAGCGCCATCCCATGGTCCACTTGCCAACAGTGCGTAACCCATTACCCAATGCGAGAACCATCAGTGCAGCTAGGGAGGCAGGGGTTACGGGACCATACTGCTACAGCTGACCTGAGATGGCGCTAGAGAGGATTTTGCAGTAGTCCTTCGAGGACAGTTTGAATATGAATGTGATGATGTGTTGGAAGCAAACACACCTTTCATATAAAAGAAGAATATTCCGCTTTAATATTCCGCTTACATAGCGCTCAATACAATGTTTCTAAGCGCTTTACAGATAAACTATTACCCCGGACATGGGATTCAATGCTTGCCCGCACACACTGTGTGCACAATCTCCACTCCCGAGGAGCATTCCAGCCAGGCGTTACTTGACGCTCAAAATCTGTTTGACCAACAATGACGGTTGCATCCTACCGGGAAACCCATTTAACACCTGGGTGGAGAGTAGCAAGTGCAGGTCAATATCTTGCCAAAGGATATTAGTGCCAAAGAAGCCAAAACATTAAAACTGAAATAACAAATCAGAATTGGAGTTTACGAGAAATTTGGAGAACAAAGAGGTGTGTAGAAATGTTGTAATAAACCTTTGGAGTGTCAAAGATACTATGATAGATATGAAATGTGCTTGAAAAGTTACGATCTTAGATGTATTGTATTTAAAAAAAATTATACATAAGAATTATTTATGAACACAAACTATCCGGAGTAGATGTGAAAATACTTTAAAAGGTTTGGTCTTGTTTTTCCTCACGTCAACTTTCTCAATAAGCTGCTTAAAGTGACTCGGTAACATTGTTGAAGTTTGATGAAAAAATTGCTTTATTTTGTATAAAATGTTACTGATTATATTCCTTCTTCTGTACTAACCCTCTGACATGCATTGAATTCACTACCTTAGCACCACTTTCTCTCATCTGAACAATGTTACCAAGTTCCTTTAAAGAGCTAGACCATCTGATTTGCAAGTTGATTGAATAAATAAAGACAAATTAAATAAATCAAACAAAAAGGTGAAAGTTTCATTGAAATTGGACGAAATATAGGAAAGTTTAAAGTTTCACTTAAATTCATGGAACAGTGATATGCATCACATAGGCTATGTTTAAAGTAATGAGTTGATGATGTCATCCCCTCAGTTTTCAGCTCTGAGAATGTACATGTAAAACATGGGTTGAATCCTCATGCAATATGTGCAAAATCACCATTACTGTTAAACTTATCGTAATATATATAACTCGCTCATTTCCATACAGTTTATGTGATTATGTGTTTCATGAAATTATGTGAAACTTTAAAAGTCCATAATGAGCAATATGGTAGCTGAAGCTGAAACTGGGGTGATAACATCCAAAGTGCTTCTGAAACGCAAAGAGATATGGGCTATACAAGAACGGTGTATTATTATCATCATTTTTGTATTTTGTATGCAGGCGGTCACACAGGCACGAACAAGGCCATCATGTCACTGGTCGGACCAGAGATGGGCCCCGCCCGTTCCCCTCTTCACAACCCCTCCCCAGAGGAGCGTGAACTGATACGCAAGGATCTCCAAGCAGAGGGGTTCTTTGAATGGATCCAGTAAACCTTTTACAGCATTTTTCAAACAAAGCAACAACCAAGCCTTGCTTCGAAGCATTCTTTCATAATTGTTTGCTCCTTCCTTCCTTCGGTGTGTAATAATTATTAATTAATTTGTCTTATTTAGTAATGTAGTCACTGCTGTAAAAAAAAAAATCCTTTGAAATTGTGCTTAGATATCTCTTTTTTATTTTTGTTATATTTTCATTCCTTGTACAAACTGATATACAACTCTATCAAATTAAAGTTCCTTTTTATTGATGATTTTATTTTTATTGAGAAAAAATAAATGTTTCTTTTGGGCCATCTTTTTAAATATTGGATCTATCTTTTAATCCAGAATTAAATACTTTATTTGTGTGTGTTTGGGGCGTGCTGCTGTGACTATTATTGGCAATTTTGGAAAAGGTCATGGGGGCAGTTATTTTTAATGCATTTTTTTGTGTGGAATGTTTCTGTGAGTGATGAGTGCTAGCCTGAAATGCCAGAGCTCAAACATTGCATGAAATGTTGACAAAGTACTCATACAAAATTTGAATTGTTCCATTGTTTTGAAGTTCCTCTCAAAGGTAGTGGACTTCATTCAGTTCATTCGGTATTGTATTTGTATGTCACCAACTTTTCAAGACATTCCATTGAAAAGCTTTTCTGTAGTACAAAGAAACAGTGTTAAGTGTCCGGTAATAGGTTAATGCATCATACATGTGAACCAGATTCCCAATAGTACTTAAAATCTCCTTTAATGATTTATCCATGTTTTCCTGTTAATAACTGAACTCAATGCTGTATTTTCCATAGTATAAATGTAGGATTCACTCATTTCAAATTAGCAATGGGTTTATCTTTTTTAAAAAATGATACTATTTTTTAATGAAGAATTAGTTGTTATATATATGTATTTTATAAAATAAGAGTATTCAATGTCTTATTAACATTCCTTTATAAAAGAAAACTATTATGAACTAGTGAAGTGAAATATATATACTCAAACTTTTCAAAAAAACAATAATACATCTCACGGGTGACATCTCAAAAGCATTTCTACCTCATCAAAAAAAAAAGCTATAATATGATATTTTAACAGGACAAGTAAAGATACATGTCGGATAAAATCATATAAATTTAAAATATATGGCAGAGAAAAGAATACAGATTTTATTTTTTTCGAAAATTCTATTTATTAGAAAATGAGGCATTGGAGCAGAAATTGGAAGCATTCGTAAAAGAATTTGTATCATCATTTTTTATTGAGCTTATAGTTCAAGGAGTTGAATATTTCACAGAAGCTAACATATTAATGGGCATTAAATACAATAAGTACACGGCTGAGGAGCACTCACTTCTGTATAATACAATCAAGAATTATTGACCTTTATATTTTATATTTTTATCCTTTTTACAGTTACTCTTGTATCCATTTGTTTAGCAATATGAAAACATCCACCATAATTTGTTTTAGAGTATATTTTTATTTTTTATTAAGTTTCAGTTGTGAAGTTTATTTTATTATGGAGAAGAAATGTTGTTTTGTTGCCCACAAGGAGGCCTCAATCAAAGTAATATTACTTTTCCTGTACATTTATATTTTGTGCAATTGCGAACGATATCCACTTCAGGTACCAACAGATTTATGTAATTTTTGTCAACTGGGCAGGGTTTCATGAAACTGTAAAAAGTACAAGGTCGCAGATATCTCACTGATCGTGTGTTTATCATAGGATGAACTTGTACTTATGACGATTTAGTGAAACCACACCCATGTCACACCAGTACCAGAGGCATTCAAGCTGTTGAGGAACTTCCCCCAATTAGGCAATCATTCACCTCACCTACATCTACTTGTAAATGTAAAAGTTGTAAGGAAAATGTAGATTAATGTCTTGCCAAAGTATATGTACTTTGATTCTGTGATAGTGATCCAAGTGTGTGACTGTTAGTATCATTAAAAAAAACCTGAAGAGGACAAGTCTTCAAAAATGTTGAATGTCATGTGCCTTCGAAAAATTAGGGAGTCAACTCATAGAAAAGTTTTCTTCATAAAATTCTATTAGATGAATTTGCAATTTTGCTTGTATCTTGTCCAATTGAACAATTTTCGTAATGTAATCAAATTAAATGCACACGTCTTTTTTAATCGACTTGTTACAAATTAATTCATTCACCTGTTTAATTTAAATAATTGCATTTCAATAGTCAGAATGTGAATTGCTTACAATCCGTGTGGTAAGGTAGGACGAGCCATAATTTTTGTCCTACCTAGCAACAATTAATATAACTAATTTGCATTCTGACTATTGAAATTACTATTGGAAAATCATTCACCTATATAAGTAAATGAAAAAGCTGTACAGCAAATATAGATTAATGTCTTGCCAAAGTTCACGTAATTGGATCGTGTGTTAGTGATTCAAATGTGTAACTGTCTGTAACATGTAATGTGCCTTCAAAAGTTATGGAGTAAAGTCATAAAGGAAAGTTTTATTCATAAAATGTCAAGAAGAATTTGCAATTTTGCTTGTATCTAGTTCAATATTAATAGTTTTCTCTTAAATTTGCTTGCCTGCACATAATGGGTGATGTGATATGAACTATGCAAGTCAATTAGACATCCTGTATCTTAATACATTTTCTAATAGAATGTATTTTGATTAGATGATTATTTGTATATCTTGCATGATTCATATGATACTTGTATGATACTTGTACACTGGTAAAGGTATAATGTATTTCATATTTCTATTCTATATCATTTTAATCAATACATTTATAGGGGATTAGTAGATATTTTCAAGGTTGTTTATGTTCTATATGCCACTTTGTTAAGATTTTTCTTTTTCAATTTGTATGTTGAAATAAAATAACAAAGTTGGTATCACTTTTGTAGTCCAAATTGACTGATTTTGTTTTTCCTCCATTTTATCCCATCCATTCCTTATAGGTATAATGGACAGTGTATATTATTTGAGTTCTGTTATTGTTGGGAAAGTATAATTTCTCATAGAATAAGAGGAAGTTACACTGAATTTTTCTAGAATACAAATAAATTGTCATGTAGTTATGGTAGAAAAGTATGTTTGCTTTCATAACGAGGAGAGAAAGTTTTTTTTTTTTTAATTAATCAAGTGTATCTCAACACATGCAAAACCCACGCTCTATTGATATTCTTTTTCTTCTATTTTAGTTCATGCAATTTTGAGCTAGTTATTGTTTGTTTATATTTTCCAAGTTCTAATGCTACATGTAGATCAACTGCCTGAATAAACATTTTAGAGTGACTTTTTCTTCAACTAATACCATAACTCAATATTACATGAAGCTTTCAGTCCTCTCATTCACTTCTTTCCTTTCTCTCGTCATATTCTTAAATTTAATAACGCGCTGCAACAACAGGTCACAATACACAGCTGGAGCTTGGGTAGTTTTTACTGACGGCTAACAACTACATCGACATGTGCACAGTGTAGACTCCATGCACGTGCATTTCCTTCAAAGATGTAATTCTTTTCATTAAGGATATCTTCCTTTTTTTTGAGGGGGGAGAATCGAAATAGATCACTAAGGGAAAATAAAATCATTTCAGGGTTGGCAGTTTAAGCAGCAACTGTCCAAAGTCATTGGGATGGGGACAAGAGTTATCACCTTCTCATACTGGAGTTCAAAGATTTCACAAACAAGCACACAAGTATTAAAGATTCTAATTGTATTTTATTGATGTTAGGTTGTATAACAAAACATAATGCAATTGCTTAGCCTCTGAAGAAATACATTTTCAAATGTTCATGCACATTAAATATCACATGATTATAAATCACATGAATGCATGGGCAGTTGGGATAAGTTTATTTGCTTTTATTAATTTATGATTTAATCACATCTGAAATTTTTTTAAACAAAAAAGAGGTAAGTTGATGATACATGTACATCCATAATGAAATTCAAGGTGGTAATTGACAGATTATAAGCACTCTGGTATTTGCTGTATGTATTTTAAAAGCACATATCATCTACATGCTTTAGGGCATTTATATTTAAATGTTGACATACATGTATATGAAGTTCCTCTTGTGGAGCAATACATGTTCAGGTCAATGAAATATTTTCTATTTGTAACATGAGCACCATAGAAAAATGGAATTCAAATTACTCAAAAAATATTTATTCAAAGACTAGATAATCTAAAGGGATATTTTGAGACCTGAAATCTCCACTCTATCCTTTAATTTAAAAATTCACAAAACCCCTTCATATACTAAACCTTTGCATACAACAAATTCCAGTATAAGGCAGTCTTGAATTTCATTTAAGCTTACCGGTAACTTTTAGTGTCTAGCCAGCCAAAAACGAGGTTCTTCTATCAACAAACATGCCTGTACTTAAAAGACAAATTCGAAACGGATCCAGCCTTCGTTATTTGTACCTGCTCGAGTGTATCTCCACATGATTTAAAGCCAAAGGTTATCAAAATTGGATCTCCCTTTAAATTTTAGCTGAATGTGGGTTCAAATTGATTCTTAATTCACCATATGGGAACATAAATGGTCTTAAATCACCAACATAATTACTAATTCTTATTTGATTGAATGATTTCTTGTGGAAGAATGTAAGCCGCGAACCAACTTTATTACGCTACCATTTTTTCATGCATGAAATGGAAGACCAATTTGTTATCATGATTGGTACATGGTATGTATACACATTGTTACAATGTATTACTGCCTTCAAACAATATTGAAGATTATCAAAAATATCCTCTATATCAGCCTTTGAAAATTTAACAAATTACATACTGTTGTACAGTTATATTTATTGCTAGTTGTATGCTATAATACAAATTGTGGTTCACTGAATGGAAATTCTGGACAAACATGATTATACTATAGTTTGAACATATTTCTGACATGTTTTTCAATTTCAGATTGATCAATCGATCTTATTTACTGGGTGTAAGCCACAAATATGTTCAAACTATTGAAATTTCTCCCAGGAAGCGTTACATTTATAAAAAATGATTATACTACTTGGTACACTGTCTTTGAACTGACATTTCATGTGCATGTATGAGTACAGGTGTACATCAGCTTTTACAATATTGTCATAGAAGGTTCTTTCATATATCCTAACAAACTGGCAATAGTTTTATTTGCAATGTGAAATAGTTCTTTGTTAACATGTACAATTTATACATAAAGATTCATTTCAGATACATGAACATGCCTTTTCTTGCCAAATTTAACGAAATGTATCGGTTATTCCCATGAGGAGTTAACAAACAGGTCCATTGAGTGAATACCCTTTGTACAATACCGGTACTTCTATCAGTTGTAATAATAGAATAGAGCAGAACAACTTGTTTTTCAGGATTACTACCAATCTTCACAATGCGTCGCTGTTTTCACGAAGTGATGGGAGTGAACAAAAATTGCATTCACTTTGCGTTATGATTTTCCTCACTACCGTCACTTCGTGAAAACAAGGACAAATTATTGGAGGAAAAAATCCAAGAAAAAGGAGCAGTATATATAGGTCTTAACTGGAGGGTCAAGACCCCTATGGGAATAATTTTGTATTTTCACAGGGTAATGACTGGTTCATACATGAAACTGATCCCATTTAAATTAACAGATAGTTGCCAACAAGGGGTAACAGTTTTGGCCAAGCATCGCATTTAGGGGTTAGAGAACCACACAAAAAAGGTGGGAGTTAATAGAGAGTAAATAACTTTAAGTTCACTTGTAAAAAAAAAGATATGAATACCATCACCTTCATAGAAATAACATTAGAAATGTCACATGTATTCTGTAAAGTCTATCCCAACAGTTGAAAACACACCTACATGTACATTGAGTCAGCAGGGGGATGTTTAAAAAAGATCCTAAGTCAAACTTATTCAAAGTTGGACTTTAAAGTTATGGAGAACCATTTGTAGCCTTAAAATAAAATATATTCAAAAGCAAAAATTCAAGTATTTTAGACATTTTATAAATTCCACATCAAGAACAGGAAATCTCTTTGATAACAGAAATTATGAATGATTTTAATCAACATTTTATGCCTTTAAAAATAGTTTTTACGAAATATTTGCATACAGTGTAGGTACCAATGGCTTTCCATAAATGTTAAATCCAAGTTAGAGATAAGTAAATACAGATAAGTTGAACTTATGATCTTTGTGAAACACCCCCTGTATCAAAACATACCATACGATGTCCAAAAAGACTCAGAAGAATGTTAATTCAATTCATGGGATAATACAATATCACATGTACTTGTAAAGAGCCTGCTTTTCGGCAATTTCTTTAAATTTGTTAAATCTTTTACAACTTAAATATAGAAATATCAAAGACCGACAGACTAATGACACCCTTCTGATCCCATGTGTTTTTTAATGAAATGATTTGTTCTCAACTGACTTTCCAACTTTTGCTTGAACAGGGAAAGAACATTTACACTGTATATAAATCCACCAGAAAAATTCCTAATATAAATTTGGTAAATGCTATTAAAGGCACCAATAGAAAATAAACAATAAACTATGACTATGATATTTGCTACATTGACACAAAAGTAACAAACACCTGTACATAGCTAATAAACAAAAAACATACTTTTGAAGTCCACCACATTTATTATTTTTTCCCAATGAGATCCAAGGAGAGGTTTACATGGAAGTGGAGGGATGTTCTCTTCCTGACAACACTTATTCTATACCTCTTTGAGAAAAAGACATTAGTTGCTCTAAAAATAAATATTCATATACATCTATATTAAATAAAATCACATTAAACAATTTTGTGCAGCTATTTCTCCTGGTGGAATTACCCTCAGTTTGACATTTATATGTATTATTTATGCTCCAGATTCAATTACATCATAATGAGCAAAATATGGAGAACTTGGGACTTGCTGCAAGAAACCGCCACAAGTCTCATTTTTTAGGACAGCCCATTAAAACATGTTACAGAAATAGCACCAGCTTTGCTAAACATTAGCTTTTAACAGTAACTGGGAGATCCTTTGTTAAACCTACGTAAATTTGGTCAATTCAGTAGTAAAGAGGAGAAAAAGCAAACCCTGAAATACAGTACTGTAAACCTCTTCCTTGGATTGTATTACTACCGATTTATAATTGGTTAATAACTAAAACTAATAATAGGGAATTTTCATTAAAGTTCATCTCAGTTTAGAAGGAAACCCTGAAATACAACACTGTAAACCTCTTCCTTGGATTGTACATGTATTGCTACCGAATTGAAATTGGTTAATAACTAAAACTAATAACAGGAAATTTTCATTAAAGTTCATTTCGATTCTTCTTCTTTTTTCCCTTCCCGTTTAAATCTGCTGGGTTTGGCCGCACAAATTTGGCGCCCTCTGGAAGCTCCGTCACTGTAGGTTCTTCTTTTGCAACCTTGTCTGCGTTCTTCTTCTTTCCCTTTGGTTTCTTTTCGCTGGTACCAGTAGGTAACGAGACAGCACATCGGAATCCTAAATTGTCGGAGCCAGCGTCTGCTTCGTTACCCATTCTGAAAAAAGAACATTTTGAGAAAGGGAAAAAATGGAAACGGTTCTAATCTTACTCCTGATCTTATTACAAGTTTTTTTTATTACTAGTAGAATGTTAAAAGTGGTGGTGTTTATTTTACTAGACTGCTAAGAAAGCATAAATGCTTGTTAGTAAGCAACCAGACGGCCGACAGATTTAGGTCCTCTCCGAGAGACCTAGTAATGAGGATTAATCCTTACCAAAGGGCACTAGCGCATCGACTTGGTTTCAAACCCGGGTTGCTGGATTACGAGACCACTGCTCTACCAACTGAGCTATCGTGCCTCCTCCTCCTCTGTTAAGAGAGTATTCACTATATTCACTATGTAGCACCTCTATCGTTATAGGAGTGATTATTTCAAAATGTACAAAGTGGATCCTCATATTTTGAAGATCTGGGGATATTTGGGGACATTTGGGACATGTGCTAATAAACCGTGAACTGCTCTATTGAGAAGAAAAAAATAATAATGCCAACCTTGTTGTGACTCTAGTAGCATGGTTGAATTTTCCATCTTTGGAGTCGATGTATGAGCCTCCCCTCAAGACAAAGCGCACCTGGGAGGGGTTCTCCTCTTCTCCGGCAGGGGAGGGGGCGTCATCTTTGGCACTGGGCGTGGCACTGAATTTAGTCGACGTCCACTCCCAGACGTTGCCGATCATGTCATACAGATCTACCAAAGCATTGAGAGGTTATTGAATAAATCAGCAAAAGAATGAGAATTCAGAATTTATAAAGCACCATACACAGAGTGATTACATGTTGTATGTGTATCATAGAAAAGACGTCCAAATTGTAAAATAAACAACTGAGATTGGGCTCAAAATAACGATCAAGGCATTTTCTAACATTAAAAATATACATATACATGTACAGGACTGGTGTATACTATGAATATTACTTGTGTTAGTATTCATTCCTCATTTATTATGGATAATTCAAACTTGTTGGACAAAATGTACTGGTGACAAAATTAAAGGCAGCATACCTTTCTAATTGTAATGCAAGTTATATTTGACACACACACACTAAACCCCACTTGTACAGAGATATTGGTTTTCAGCAACAAATTTTGTGCCTTCTGAGAGGTCTGTCAAGATTCTGGTGAATATCGAGCCATTAACTTTTTACATGCCACATACACAATCACCCTGTGCCACACTGTATTTATCATAGGATAGATACATACCTGCCAACATTTGAAAATAAGAATTAAGAATTTTTAGCACGGTATGCCTTTGAAAATAAGAAATTGCACTTGCAGCGGCAGTGTAACTGGCAATACGCGGTAAATCTGTACCAAAAAGCTAACACAAATTCGCTGCTCGATCATGCAGCCTTCAACGCACCCACCAGCCCATGATTAAAAAAAAAGCTTAATTTGGCTTACCGTATTAGCACAAAAACAAATCAAAAATCAGATTTATTCCGAATTTTCAGGTCCTAAAAATCCAGAAAATCAGAATATTCCAGACTGTTCAGAAGGGTTGGCAGGTATGTAGATATATACCAAAAGCTTCAAGATTGTTTATTTCCAGGGCAAGATTAATCTATAAAATTGTAAAAAGGGTTGTCATGGAGCCAATCAAGACAAGAGTTGGGTCATTTTCATGCTGCACAAAGTAATTCTTCCGTCAATTGGTTCCTGTTGTTATGTGGAAAAGAGCACAAATGGCAAAAAAGCAACTGTGCAGAGAGGCAAAGACAGCAACATGCCACTCATCAACTTCAAATCAACACGATTTTGACTAGAATTGAAAGCTAACACAGTGTAGAATAGAAAGAAAATAAACTCACCATAATCATTTTGAGGTGGGAATGCATCAACAGGACTTACGCCGTGATACCCATCAGCCTTGGTATTCTTTTCTGGAAATTTGCCCTATCCAGCAGAAAAGAAAAAAGGAAAAAGATTAAAGACAACAGAACAAGTATGGACATATTACATAACAAGATGGATCATTCTATAGGGTTTGGGCAAGTTTTGTGACATACTAGAAGTGAGAAACCATGTCTCCTATCAACCATAACAATGTTTGCTCAAATTATTTTCAGCTTAAAAAGCATAGCCAACTATGTTTAGAAGTACTCTAGCTTCATGGTGAATCAATATTATAGACCTAAACGTAAAGTTATACAAATGTGATATCCACGTAACACTGGTAAAAATAAGAAACAAATATTGAGCAAAATATTGTTAAGAGAAGCAACATAATCAAATGAATCTGGCAGGGGTCTACTACATACATGTATATTCATTGCATAATCTTCAAAAGATGATTTGATCTTCCATGAGTTGCAGAAGATCTCATACTAACACAGTTTTTTGTTGGGGGGATTTAATTCTCTTTTCAAAGATCTTTCTTCCTGTTACTCTGTTTTTTATTTCAATAATATATATCAACATCTCCGGCTCAACTGAGTTAAAAAGAATTTCAACATCACCATTTTACTTAAGACTTTGAAAGAAAAAAAGAACATGTGTATCACCTGCCAAATATTCATCCTATTCTTCTCAAATTTTTTTCCCCAAGGATACTCTTTGCCTGTAAAGTAAACAGAATATGAGATGGAGAGAAAAAAGAGAGAAAATTATACATACATAGTGCAGATAAATATTGATATTAACCTATTATATTTGGTATATAAAATATCTCTAATATCTTAAAATAATCTGGGTACCATTCATAACGTTTCAAATGTTTTTTCTTATGGCCACTGGATATTGAATTAATAAGATCCCTTCCATGTAATTCATGTCGAACATTTTTAAAAATCAGAATAAAACCTCCAAATCAAACCTGGCTAGAATAGATTTGGACCTAGTACAGAGGCTTGTGGGACACCACATGTTACAGGTATTAAGAGAAGATGGCTCTACCCCCCCCCCCCCCTCCCCAATTCATTCACCTTCTAGACCCCTCTTTATGTATATGCAAACTACTTTTTTTTTCTGTGGGGGGTCATTCCATGTCAAATCACCCAATGGTTTTAACCCGACCATTTTTTATTTTGATGAAACTTAGTGTACTTGTTGAGTGTGATCTCACAGCACCAAATCCAAAATTTTAGGTCAATCGGGTGAGGGGTTTGGGAGATACGGCCCACCAAATTTTGAGATTTTTTCAAAAATGGGGGTGGCGGGCCTACCTTTGAACCCTTGTATCTCGGGACCTAATGGGTCAATCTTCACAAAATTTGTATTGTTGGAAAGGGTATTCAATAAGGATTCCAATTCTGCCGCCATTTTGAAGATTCGTACATGTTGGGGTACTTTGACCTCTTGACCTCAGATTTGACCTTGAAATTGACCTTGTGGATCACGTAACTTTGACAACATTTTTCATGAAATGTAATCTCTGACATGTACACTAAAACGTGTAAAAGTTTCAGAGATATAATATTTTTTGTTTAGGAGCAATAAGGATTGAAAGTATCCATGCTCACAGATATTTACAATAAACCCTATTATAATGTATACAATACATGCAATATGCACAGTACAACATACATCTTCCACATGCTTTTTTGTTTTAGGCATATCCATCCTAAATGTCAGTAGTACTTGAATAGAAATAAAATGACAAGTTCATATAGGCCTAAAGGGTTAACAGGATGTATGGATTTAGGCCTCTGAGTCGGTTCTAGGATAATTACCCCCCTGGAAAATTAACCCTCAGGAAATTCCCCCCCCCCCCCCTGAGGACAATTACCCCCCAAGGACTATCACACCCAGAGGATTATTACCCCTCAGAAAATTACCTCCTAGGACAAACTGTCCCCCCCCCCCCCCAAGGACAATCAACACCCGGACAATTTCCCCCTAGGACAATTCCCCCCCCCCCCCCCGGGAAAATTACCCCTCAAGAATAATATACCCCAAAAAATAAATCTGCTTTGATTATAACCACCTTATTATCAGTTTGGACTTCCACTTTAACGAATAGGGGGGGGGGGGTAATTGACCTCTGGGGTACTTGTCCTTAGAGGGTAGTTTTCAGGGGGTGAATTTTCCAGGGGGTAATTATCCTAGAACCGACTCAGAGGTCTAAAGCCATACATTCTGTTAACCCTTTAGGCCTATATGAACTTGTCATTTTATTTCTATTCAAGTACTGCTGACATTTAGGATGGATGTGACTAAAACAAAAAAACATGTGGAAGATGTATGTTGTACTGTGCATATTGCATGTATTGTATACATTATAATAGGGTTTATTGTGAATATCTGTGAGCATGGATACTTTCAATCCTTATTACTCCAAAACAAAAAATATTATATCTCTGAAACTTTAATATGTTTTAGTGAACATGTCAGAGATTACATTTCATGAAAAATGTTGTCAAAGTTACGTGATCCACAAGGTCAATTTCAAGGTCAAATCTGAGGTCAAGAGGTCAAAGTACCCCAACATGTACGAATCTTCAAAATGGCGGCAGATTTGGAATCCTTATTGAATACCCTTTAAAACAATACAAATTTTGTGAAGAATGACCCATTAGGTCCCGAGATACAAGGGTTCAAAGGTAGGCCCGCCACCCCCATTTTTGAAAAAATCTCAAAATTTGGTGGGCCGTATCTCCCAAACCCCTCACCTGATTGACCTAAAATTTTGGATTTGGTGTTGTGAGATCACACTCAACAAGTATACTAAGTTTCATCAAAATCAAAAATGGTCGGGTTAAGATTTTCAGATTTTTTGGGTGATTTGACATGGAATGACCCTGGGTATTCTTCATGCACTGATACGACTCTAACCATATCTGACGCAGAATAGAAGTGGACCTAGTAGACAGTCCTCTGGGACCACATGTTATACACATTGAGGAAAGATGCTTAAAGACTCTCGCCTTCCAGACCCCCTCTACACGTAAACTCCCACTCTGCTTCTGTGGGTAACCTCCATCTACGCCATAGGCAGAATAACTCTCATCATACCTGTTGCTGAACAAAATGGGCCTAGTAGAGAGCATTGTGGAACACCACTCATTACCCCTTTATTACCTTCCAATACACTCACTTTCTAGACTCCCTCTAGCTGCAAACTCCCATTCTGGTTCTGTTGGTAACCTCCATCCATACCCTTGACAGAATGTTCTAGCATCGATATGACTCTAGTCAAACCTGAAGCTGACCAAAAGTGGACCTAGTATAGATCCCTGTGGAACACCACTCATTACCCCTTTATTACGTTCCAATACACTCACCTTCCAGACTCCCTCTAGCTGCAAACTCCCATTCTGGTTCTGTTGGTAACCTCCATCCATGCCACTGACAGAATGCTCTAGCATCGACATTGCTGATGTGAACGGCTGGGTAGTTCAATCGATTCTCGATGCCACTTCCTTTACCTTCTGGCTAAAAACAAATTAAAGGCCTTGTATTTTACTCACAACTATTGCAACAATAAGCATCAATAAATAAATATAATACACAACAAAGACAAATTCTGAAGAAGAAAAAAAAATGACAACAAATCATACAGAATTTATGGATGTTTGAAAGTGAAAATGCCAAGAGCACATTGGTATTGCGATGATCTTATTACATACTCTTCACAGGTCCCTGTGTTCAATTCAGAAATAAATATATAAATAAAATGAAGCAACTTTATATAGAATAAATGTATTTGAAATCCATTGACAAAATTCAATGAAAGTAGTGCATAAATTATAGACTTTCATGTAGAGGATTTAAGGAAACTGGATATTGAAATTTAAAGTGAAAATGTAGAATTTGAGGTCAACACTATATTGAATGATCTCAGTACATCAAGCAGTAAATGTATTAAGACAAAGTTCTACATATTTGCTCTGACTGTGAAATATTTGAAATGATGCCAACTCATGCTTTCTGGCCAATATAACAAACTTTCTAATTACTTTTCAAAACTTAAAGTTACTCTTATCATTGACTTTGTAATTTCCTTAAGTGTATTTTTCATTTTATTGGCTTATCTGGATTTGTAAGAAATATCATATTGTATTATTTGACTTTGGTTGTTTTTATGAACGTGGTGAATAAATTCAAGTCAATTCAGTTCAATTGAATTCCATATATTCCCAATCACTTCTTACCTGTCTCCAATAAGCATTCTGAACTGGAATCCACCAGGGTGCACCCTAAAGCAAACAGATATTTCATTTTATAATGACTGGTATATTTTTATTTCTTTTAACAGATTGCCTACATGATTCATTGAAGCACCGTTTTAGATATAGCCCTGTAAACCAAAATGATAACTTATTCAATGTTTTACAGTGAGCTGATAGTGACCCATTCTTCCAATCATGATTTTTCATTGCATGTTTACAAAAAATGTACAAAGTTGCTACCAAATTGCATCATACAGTATATATCTGCATCATGTATCTGCATGCATTCAACTACAATGGTGTTAAAATGCAATTGCACTCTGAAATTAAAAAAAGAAAAAATTAACTATATGACATACTTCCACCTTCCCTCCCATAAATAACACTGTGAAAGATTTAAATATATGTATACCGGTACCTATAACAAACTGAAACCATGAGAAAAGAAAAGAAAATGCAATGTTCAGCAAACACAATTAGAAATCTAATGTAATATCTTCACAGGTGTGGTCACACATGCAGGTGTATTGTTATGATTCTTATCAAATAGGCATGGTATCTGTTCATATCCAGCTACATGTACGGTATATGTGTGCAATATAAAGTGTTTGAGATCTGTAATGAAGCCAAAGATAGACCAATATTCTGTTCTTAAATCTTAATAAAAATGGGTATTCTTCACTTACAGGTAATCTCTGCTCAATAGTGTTCTTGATGGCCTCTGGAACGAACGCATCAAAGGCAAAGCTCCACGAATATTTCTCTGCGTCTGTCTTGTATTTCTTTGCTCTCACAAACTTCCTAGAAGAATGAAACAGATCAAAATCGCTAACACACATAATTGGAATATATTCATTCATGTACATCCATCTGAAAATTGTGTGCTGAGACCTTCTTTTGTGTTTGAAATACCTCTACGAGTATTGTACTACTCTGTAGAGAGTTCTTTGGTGAGTTCTGCAGTATTGCAAATAAAAAAGGGCACATATTGTTTTCTTCTTTTTCAAATACACCATCCCATAAAAAATGTGGAAACCGGGTGTATTCCCTCTCCAGGGCAGCAGAAGAATGTTAATTGTAAAATAAGAGGATAGAATTCAATGCCCTTCTGTTCACCACACAAATTTTTTCACCGACACTGTTCATACATGTACGATGCATGTTTTATGGCGGGCTCATGAAATACACAACCAAACAAACAATTGTTTAACTAACATGTTTTACATGCACCTAACATAATTACATGTACCGATATCTAAAATTATATGCCTACTATTAAAGATAAACTTGAGTTCTGGTAAGAAAAAGAAAATGAATTCTCACAGAATCTAACGAAACTTACACTGAATGTTCAAGATTACAAATAAATGTCATGTGCCAAACAATTTTGGAAGAAAATATATACTGGCTGAGTAATGAGCATAGACAGATAAGGAAATCAAGGTAATCTAGCCCCGACACCATTTGTGTAGTCCCATATACATCTTTCTGTGTAAGTGATTGTTACTTTACCAAGACTCTGCAAAATTTATGATGATTTTGATGAAGTCACTCCAGAACCTTGCATTACACACCATTACTTACATGCTATATGATCAACTTTTCTGATCCATTCCACACCTTTTCTTTCACAATGCAATCGCATTACCAGAACTCAAGTTTATCTCTAATATAATTTGATTTGGTTACCACACATAATACATTTCTCAATTCCTGTATCTACAGTACAAATATTTAATTAATTAGAGTGAGTATTGTTTGCATAAAATAACCGAGATGGAAAACTCTCCTATAATGGTAACAGCTTGTCAAATCAATATCATTCAATCAAGCTTTAATAGGAAGATCCATAATATAGCAGTATACTACAACATGTATATGATACATGATGACTGGTTGTTAGGTGACATAGATTGCATTGGCATACATAGAACAAATTATTTCAAAAACATTATAAATTTTGAGCTTCACTGTAAAAATCTGATTTATATTCAATATAAATTTAAAGGTAAAGACCAGTATTGGAAACGCCCCAATTTCAAAAAATGAAATGGAAGCTCTCATTACCAATCATGTGAAAGAATATGTTTTGACTAATACATGATGATAAAAAATTTGCCGGGAAACCGCCTACTAATTCATATATTTGGTAAATTTGTTTCTCTCATGGTCTGTGAGAGATATAGGGTAGTCCCATATACATCTTTCTGTGTATAGTGCTTGTAACTTTACGAAGAATGGGCCAAATTTCTTATCATTTTGATGATTCCAGAACTTTGCAGATGCTAGATGCTAGATGATCAACCTTTTCTGATCAATTCCACAATGTTTCTTTCACAATGCAATCGCATGACCATAACTGGTCTTTACCTTTGATATAATGCCTCAAAGTTCGCTATAAAACAAAATGAAAGAACACATGCTTTTTATTTCACCTCTCTTTTTTTCTGCTTCAAAGTTCAAATCAGCAAATGTACAGATTTAAAACTTTTCAAATTTACTGGTACTGTCTAAACTAAGAAAATGAATGATAAGCCTTTTCAAGGATTGCATAGTTACAGAGTGATGTATCAAAATGGTACCTGCATTAATATTTTTTGTATCAGCACTGAAATATGGATTGATAAAGATTTTTTTTCTGGTAATCAAGGAACAAAATTACCAGGATATTATCAAAGAAGGATCATATTTCAATTTCAGCAGATGTATCATACACTGTACACAGTACATGTCATTTTAATATTATTTGTATTTCAGAAGGAAGAGAGATTGATGACTTTTATTTTTAAAATGAAACACGTGGGGAGGGGGGGGGGGGGAGAGAATATCAAAAGAACAAATAGTTTAAGCTTCTTTAATGCGTTATTCTTTCTGTTAGTACCTAATTTTGTCTTTTCTTTTTTTAGAGGACCAGACCTTCATACAAAAAAATCTGATACTCAATTGATAATAGACAAATTAAAACAAACGTTACACAACTTGTGACCTTTAAGGTCAAATCACTAATGATATGGAGAACCTTCAACTGGCAATACATTCACAGTAGTGTATATGATGTCATAGTTGGACTATGTTCCCAGCCATACTGTACTAAAAGGAATTCAGAAATAATGGAAGGGGCATTTCATACATGTACGTTGTAAAAAAAAACATGCAAGTGTCCCCTTTTATTGGAGAAATATCTTTTAAATCATAAAAGATGAAAAAGCGATAATGAAAAGAGATCTAAAACTATCCCTAATTTGCTTCACTGATTTTTCTACTTCTACACAGATTCTTTAATGAGAAATTTCATACAAAGAAATCAACAAAGACATGATAATGACAATCTTTACCTAAATGATGCTGCAGTAATAGGATACTTGTTGATTTTAAAAGGTTTCACAGTGACTTTTCTCTGGACACTCTCTCCATCCTTGCCATCTGATTTCGATGACCCCATCATGAACTTTCCTCCAGGTAACGCAACCATCTCTTCATACTTATCAAACACAGGATCTAGAGAGAAAAGGAGTCACATGAAATAGGATAAATGCTTACAGTCAAACCTGTCTGTAGCAACGGTCCAAGGGAAACACAAAAAGTGGCCTTTGTAGACAGGTTCGTTAGTACATGTTTCAATGAGAAACCATTTTCAAGGGAAACAACAAATGTGGTCTTTATAGACAGATGGTCACTAAAGCAGGTTTGACTGTATGCCTTTTCCTTCAAATGTTTGTCTAACCTATCTTAAAGGCCCACTGCACTACTTGTAGCTACTTGCGCCCTCTATATAACAAACAATGCCTAATCGGTGACCATTGGTCCCCCATGATCCTCTTTTTCTTATGTTAACTGAGAGCTGAGTTGATGAGATAACCAACTGTCCAGTGACCTTGCAGGGCAGTCTAATTCCTCCTGTAAACTACGGCAGATAAGCTTTAATGAGTCTTAATGAGTTATAATGATATTAATAATAATTAAATAATTTACATAATTACTAATTACATGTAGTTCCTTTTCCCGAGGATAGAAGGTGCTATCCCTTAGTCTTCAAGATTTCAAATTCTGTCCATTTCTCTCAAGCTGATCGTCACTTAAAAGCAACCGATATGTAATTTTATTGTGTCTTTTTGGAAACCCTAAGATTAATTATACATCTTACCTAGATCATAACTGACTAATTTGTTTATTTTGTCACTTAGAAATAATATCAATATTGCTTAATTATTGTTAAGCATTTTATATCATTATGTAACTTTCCTTCCCAATAATAATCATATCAAATGTTTCTAATATAAGCACCAGGTTATTGATTTGAAAGTTTTTATATTTATGTGATGAACGTAAAGCCATGGTAATGACATAATAATGTAATGAAAGTAATCAAGGATATAATAGTAATTGCTCCAACTATTGTTATCCTGATATATATTTATTTATTTATTTTCTCATATTGTGAATGTTTATTCTGTTCTTTACTCTTAATTTTCCAGGATGCAGACTGTGGGGGGTGACATGTTTTCGAGTAATAGCAATTTAAATTGCTTTTGTCACCCCTGGCCAGCAGATTGTATCCTTCTCTCAATCTCCTCTCAACTTTCCTAAAGCTGTTTGAATGTATTATGAAATGTCTATGTATTATCTGATTGTTATACTCTTTGTATGTTTTCCGATTGGTCAAATAAATAATAATAATAATAATTATAGAGCTTTGTTTTAAAATTTTTTTTAAATCAAGTCAACTATGATTTGTTAAAAATGCAGGCAGTTTGTTAAAGATGCAGTCAGTTTGTTCCATAGGTACAGGGGTGTATGGGGCTACGAATTGAAAAGATTTGAAGCCAGGCTATTACTGGGAATTTGGTATACCAATTCATCTTTCGATTTTGAGGGTTTGTTACTTGTTTCAAGGGAAAGTCCACCCTGATATCAAGTTGGTTTTAAAAAAAGCAGAAAAAATAGAGAAACAGATCAGTGACAACTTTAGCAAACCCCTATAAAAAGAGGGGAAAAAGAAGAAAGTTACAAGTTTGGTATGTGAAAATGGGTCCCAGACATGTTAAATAAGTAAAATACATTGTCTGCTCGAAGCCAGAAAGGTGTTAACTACATGTACATGTAGCTCTGTGTTACACGATAGGAGCTAATGCATTTCTGGGTTCAAACAGACAACATGTAAGTCCCATTTATACATACAATGTACATACATGTACATATTAAGAATAAGGTAGCTCAACAAAAATCACTGAAGCAGAAAAAGTCCCACTTTCTAAGTTACTTGTTACTTGTTCATTTACATGTACATGATTTTTTTTCTTCCCAGCCCAGTTACTGGAATTAAGCCACAGGGTATTCTAAAGAATAAGGTAGCACAATCAAAATCACTGAAGTAGAAACAGTCCCTTTTTCTAAGTTACATATAAACAATTTTTTTTCTTCCAGCCCAGGTACCCGTAAGGGGATTAAGGAAAGGGGTATTCTAAAGAATAAGATAGCACAACCAAAATCACTGAAGTAGAAACAGTCCCTTTTTCTAAGTTACATATAAACGATCTTTTTTTTTCCAGGAATTCCAGCCCAGGTACTGGTAAGGGGATTAAGGAAAGGGGGTATTCTAAATTTCTTTTGTCCAAGACTGCAGTGAGACGTGGCACATGGCTTGTAGTGTCAGCTTTCAAATTGGAGCAGGCGTGGACTATACTGGTCAAGTATGCATACAAATCTCTACTATGAAGTAGGATGGTTGACACATTTCCTGGATAATGTGGACATATGGAGATACAAGTGTTATATTGTTCATATCAATTATACATCTTGTAAAACAGTAAACGTTAAAAGATGAATAATGTATAATACATTGCGATTCAAATAACAGTGTTACCTCTTAATTGGAAACAATATCTAAATACCATTACTTTCGATTAATAGTACATATAGTTAGGCTATTTCCAAATGATCACATTCTTCTTCTTCTTCTTCAAAATAATCTGCCTCCTTCACTGCTGAAGATTCTTGCAGATGTGTGCGAGTGCATGTGTGTGGCGACATGGGGATGTCCAGGTGTGCAGACCTGTGAGAGGTATATATATATATACATAGTGCCAATAAAAAAATATTGCCGGAATTAACTTCCCCCCAGTCTTTAGTTGTCTCTGGAAGGCTTCCACTGATGGAGCCAGGACAACCTCAAGAGGGAGAGCGTTCCACTTTCGAACAGTGCGAGGAAAGAAGGAGTGAATATGTTGCTCTGTTCGTGACTGCATGACAAGATAACAGTAAGGACGAGACGATCTTGTAGTTCTTACGACTGTTGCCAGTTGGATGTAGTGGTGGATGTCAAAGTCAACCAAAGAGTAGTGTATCTTGTACAGTAAGGTAAGACATTGATGCTCTCTTCTCTTCTGGAGGGAGGTCCATCCAAGTTGACGCAGCATGTCACGTTTAATTATGTTTTCTATGAATTTCATCAATTGTTTAATCATTTTTTTATATATCTATTTATTTGCTGTTCTATGAAGTATAGTGTAGCATTATCAACAACAGACTATAGTATACCTCCATAAGAGTGCTACATGTAGAATAGATATTAGTGATGTGATACAACATTGAAATATATCAAATAAAATCATACATATTTTTTTCACACAAATAAAGATCTCCTGGACTATATCTGCCCTCACGATGATCCCTCAGATAACTTCCCCCTAATAAAATTACTGGTACCCCTACATGTAGATGTAATTCAAGGGTATGGATCCCTGGGGGGGGGGGGGGGGTACTCATATTTGGTTTGGACGGGGGTGTGCCGCCAAAGCCTCGAGACCCCTACCCATTAATAGGGGTCATTTTTCTCCAAAAAAAACCTATTTTTCACAATTTTCGGGTGTTTTTTTCGAGTGTTTTGAAAATGTTGGAAATTTTGAAAAAACTGACCCATGTGGGACCAATGTTTAGAATTTTTTTGTGAAAAAGTGATCCATTACAGCGGCACAATATGTCCTATGTGAGTACCCCCCCCCCCCCCTCCCCACCCCATGGATGCAACGTTCAGAGAGTTATCCAGGGGTAAAAACATCCCAGATCATGTCCGATGAAAATGATTTTCCAGGATATGGGCGGGGGGGGGGGGGGGAGGGAGGGAGATGATCTTCCAGGATGATGTTCGAGGGGTAATGTAGTCTTTAGAGGAGGCGAGTTGGCTCAGTCGGTAAAGCGTCTGCCTGTCGAACCAAAGATCCCGGGTTCGACTCCCACCGAGGCGGATGACTGAAGTCTGCGTTGTGTGCTAACGTGCCCCTTCCCTTGTTCATAGACGCAGGTTATGTCAAGTGGAAAACACTCCGTCCCTCGGATAGGACGTTAAATGGAGGCCCCGTGTACAGGAGAGTCACTACCCTTGCACGTTAAGAACCCATTGCACTTTTCGTATAAGAGTAGGGGGAAACCTCGGTGTAATGGTCCACCTGCACACCCCAATCAGGCCGAGTATACGGCATCTGCAAGAATCTTCAGTATTGAAGGAGGCAGATTATCTTGAAGAAGAAGAAGAAGAATGTGAAATGGGGCAGCATTTTTCAACGTAGATCTATACAATTAATCAACAAATGTAGTCTACACAAAACAAGGCAAAACAGTACAATAATCATTAATAGAAAACAATTTCATTTTGATTTAGACAACATGCAACTAATGCTAAGGGGAAAACGCTAGGTTAGTCGCTAAGTGTTGGCAGGTTGAGCTAGCTGTCGGTCCAGTCCAGCCTGACCTAAGCCCTGGCTAGGGGCGCGAACGGAGCTCGTGTACGTTGTGAACGTGAGCGAAGTTCAAGCAAGGCAAGGCGAGGCGGATCCGAACCAATCGACAGCTAGCTCTGTCCTCTGCCGACGCGACGGGGCACTGGACACAAGAGATTCCGCTTGTACTTACCGGCAGGAACTTCGTCTTTAGATAAGGCATGAGAAAGCGATATAAGCACCATAAAGGCAAGGCTCGAGTAAATGGTCAACATGGTAAATGCTCCTATCTTCATTACTCGAACAGGGGCGTCTTAAAGAATAAGTCGAGTTTTCGCAAAAGTGGCTAATAATTCCGTGGCCCGCCGTGAGCTGAGACCTTCTTCAATGCAATTTCTTGACACGTAAGACGCGATATGCGAAAGATAACTTACTTTTGAAAGAACTAAATCTATGTTTACGTACACGTACACAGTGTGCGTACGTGACAAGTGCTCGATCAGTGCTCCGGGGCAAAATTAGTTTTCTCTTTATAATTACAATACACAAAATTCAACTTTAAAAAAAAAGCTTATAGAACAATAAATGGAGAAGGGTAACAATCGTTCTCTTGATGGATCGCTCTAACCACCATGGTACTGGTGGGGGCTTTAGTCTGCAGCCCCTCTTAAAAAACTGCCAGCCTTATGTTTGTGGGGGGGGGGGGGGCAGGGGGTGCCAGGTAAAAATGTTATAGGTAAATATGTCAGAGGTAAACGTGTCAGGGGGAAAATATTAGTGCCGTCATAATATCTTACCACTTTATCACTGAGTGTCGCGACGTGAGCTCCTGACCTGGCCTAGTTTATTGTATTCCCTTCTTCCATATCATAATGTACATTTTTATAAATGAATGTGTATTTTACTTCGTAAGCCTGCATGTCTTGAGGATTAATTGAGGAAATTTGAAAAATTGACTCAGGCTTGGATGTATGAATTTCGAACATTTGTCGATATTTTAAATTGGTTGATGTTTTAATGTTTCATTTGGTTTTGAGGAAGTAAGTACATAGGATATTAAGATTGAATGAGATAAAACAGGGAATCAGTTATAAACATCGCACAGAAATTCAACAAATTCAGTCATCTGAGCCGATTTGACTCATGTTCATGTTCATCCCAGCAAAGACAAGAAAAGACATGGATGCTTTCCCCCCTCATCAATACTTTATAACAAAAGTTTAACAAACAATAGCAAAGCTTTGATTGAAGAATGTCAGATAGTAGGCTACCGTGTAATAAATGTAAACGATGATACATGCATGGAAACGCATGAAAAGACACATTCTGACTTATTAAAATAATCCAATAATAATTCACTTGGTCAATATAACCCCGCCCGGCCGCCCCCAACCTCTCCACAAAACACGTTTCTCAAAAGTTGTTTCCGCCGTGTGAACTTAATCACAGTAAACTGATATGTTTTGCCCTATTAGCTCCTGAGGCCAAGGTTTGGATACGCCACTGGAGAGTCTACCAAAGTACGCTTAAACTACCGTCATCTTACTGGCTCACTGGCCCCACTGACTCTTAGTGCCTCCAATTTGATTCTACGGAAAATAATGTTTAAGAACAATCATTGAAAAAAAATCTACAATAGAACTATTTAAAACAAGATAGTTAAAAACTATATTTCGTTAATAATGGAATAACTTTATGTTGACCTATCTATAAATGGAATTTTTCTAACAACATATAGCTATTTAAAAAAAAACAGTGTAAAAATACGTTTATTTTACCTCTTTTTTTGGAGATGCCCCTCAAGGGGGGGGTGCAATTTTTCAAATTTTCGAGAGCCAAAAAAAATTAGTGATCACTACCCCCCCCCCTCCCCCCACACACTGAACGAATTAGCGTTCGGCACGATTTTTCAAATTTAAGCACACTAAATTTCAAATTGATTTCAAATTTGCCCCCCCCCCCTAAGAAATCCTGGATCTGCGCCTGAAGTGACTACTCAGTACGATAATATACACGACGGTGGCCTGTACTTATATAGCGGGAAAAAAAAGGAAAAGGGAGGGGGAGATTATTTGGGTGATGATTTTTTGAATGTCGGGGTGTGACTCCGTTTCGAAAACATTTAAAACTTATTCATTGTCATTATCTTTGATCCCCCTTAAAAAAAAGCCGGGCCCAGGATACTCTATACACTGTTGGTCATAATGGTGGAATAATTATTTTTTACCCCAATTTATTGAATGATTTTGACAATGATTTATTCTTAATAGATCTAGATAATAGTATACATTCTCAGATTTTATTGAATGACAATTGGGGAGTGTTTGTTTTGCGTGACTGCTGAAGCATTTGTGTGCTACTATGCTAATCAACTAGGGAACCTACGTCCTTAAGTCATAACTGACAGTATAATGCCTCATAAAAGGGCACTAATATAGCACATCGACACGGTTTTGGTTTTGGTTTTGGGCTCTCAGTAATGAGGCCATTGCTTAGCCAAAGAATCATGACTGTATGCAGCGGGCGCTAGGTTACGTCGACGCCCCCACAAAAACAAAGAAAATGCAATAAGTTTTCAATAATTCATTGCATTTCCCCCCAGTCCCCAACAGGAAAAATCCCTCTGTACGGCCATGCATTATGGTTTAAGGCATGCCAACATTTATGTTGGGGGTCGGGGCAAAATGCAATGAATTATCGAAAACTTATTGCATTTTCTTTGTTTTTTTGTGTGGGGTCGCGTCGACGTACCCTAGCGCCCGCTGCGTCAGTCATGATTCATTGACTAAGCAATGGCCTCGTTACTGTGAGCCCCCAGGATCAAAACCGTGTCGATGTGCTATATTAGTGCCCTTTTAAGAGGTATTAATCCCCATTACTGTCAGATATGACTTAAGGACATAGGTCCCCTAGTTGTTTTGCTTTAGCACTCATGCAAAACAAACACTCCCCAATTGTCATTCATTAAAATCTGAGAATGTATACTATTATCTAGATCTATTAGGAATAAATCATTGTCAAAATCATTCAAAAAAATGGGGTAAAAATAATTATTCCACCATTATGACCAACAGTGTACAACTGCGTCAGTCATGATTCATTGACTAAGCAATGGCCTCGTTACTGTGAGCCCCCAGGATATAAACCGTGTCGATGTGCTATATTAGTGCCCTTTTAAGAGGTATTAATCCCCATTACTGTCAGATATGACTTAAGGACATACCCTAGTTGCTTTGCTTTAGCAGTCACGCAAAACAAACACTCCCCAATTGTCATTCAATAAAATCTGAGAATGTATACTATTATCTAGATCTATTAGGAATAAATCATTGTCAAAATCATTCAAAAAATTGGGGTAAAAATAATTATTCCACCATTATGACCAACAGTGTACAACTGCGTCAGTCATGATTCATTGACTAAGCAATGGCCTCGTTACTGTGAGCCCCCAGGATATAAACCGTGTCGATGTGCTATATTAGTGCCCTTTTAAGAGGTATTAATCCCCATTACTGTCAGATATGACTTAAGGACATACCCTAGTTGCTTTGCTTTAGCAGTCACGCAAAACAAACACTCCCCAATTGTCATTCAATAAAATCTGAGAATGTATACTATTATCTAGATCTATTAGGAATAAATCATTGTCAAAATCATTCAAAAAATTGGGGTAAAAATAATTTTTCCACCATTATGACCAACAGTGTACATTTCTTATCTAGTTTATATAAGGGCCCGTTGCTCCTTGCGCGCTTCGAGCTCCCTGAAATTACGATACATCAAACGCGTATGCTATTAGATGAAAGTTATCAATCTTAGATTTAATCTTTCTCTAAATCTGATCCGGAGAAGACACTCCCAAACTGGTAAATATAAATTATGATTTGTGGGATAAAACGAGTTATTCAATCCTTGGTAGTACTAATTACCTATGTAATATTATATGTGAAATAGAACTGTATGAGAAAATTCGGGTTAAAGTTATTCTTTATGTCATTTTTACGTGATAAGATATCCTGACCGAAATGTCAGTTTGTATGGCTTCGGTCCCGTGTGTTGATTTTTGTGTAGGCCAAGAGGACCGAGGTCTGAACGTTGATGTGTCACCACTGCAAATAGTTTTGTATGCTATCTTATTTATCCTGGACTGGTATATCAGATAGATTGTCCTCTCTAATGTGATATATGAAGATGTTTATTATCTTCCTGAGGCAAAAGAATGACTGAGACTGACTAGACTAAGTGAAGGAAAGAACAATCATGCAAATGGCAAATGTTTTGAGACAAAACAAGTCGAGCAGAAAATTGAAATAATTTTGTTGTTCTTGTTAAATTAATGGCAAGCTCTCTCATCTATTCAACCTACAAGTTGAATAGGTCAAAGGACTGGAAGGATCTCACCATCATCTGTAACAACATGTCCTTGAGTTTGTCAAGCAGTTATTAAAAGATTCATTTGTGGCCAAAACTGAGTCGAACAAAAATGGTCACACCGATTCTATGGTCACAGCTTTAATGATTGAAATCTGATGCTGTAATTGGTTTACAAATACATTTGAATTAACTTCTGTGAATTTTTTTTTATTCAATTAATTCCTTTGGTTAATAACATGTGTTTAAAGGATTTTGTTTACAAGCGGAAGCTAATGAAAACAAGTATTCTTATTTCTATTTATAAATGGATTGGTTGACGCCAACATGGTACAGTTGTACAGAGATCCAATAATTCATGGCAAAAAGACAAAGCTGAATGACCCCTCCGCTATGAATTCATTAATAAATACATAATACAATTATTGATAAAGTAGTGTGGCGTAACCGGGCTCTGCCGGGGTAGCGTTCTGCCTTGCAGTCTCTCAAAACCCGGTTCACGCTCTCGACAATCATTCAACTCTCAGTGGGCTCTCACAAAAGTATATCGTGTAAGAAATAACGTGGACTAGCTCTCATTTTACTCACTCCAGCAATCACTGAATGTCTGACAGGACTAAAGAAACAACAATTGCACAGTATCTGCAGTTCAAGTAACTTTACTCGTTCCTGGTAACGGACCTGTCGCAACGACAGCCCGACGCTGACTCACAGATCACAACTATGTAGAACCTGCCCCAATGGCAGCTAAGCGCTGACTCCCTGACATCTCACGATGTACACATATATATTTCACAATTAACTATAACGCCCTCTACGTCTTACTAAACTACTGGACTAGTTATGCTACAGTAGTAATATCAATGTACCTTTCTTCACTTTGGATGATATGAGACAAAAAGAAGAAGAAAAAAAAATAATGATAATAATAATAATATGTCTTGTTTACCCAAGGTAGCCTCATCATCAGTAATAAGTCCTGTTCTCCCTTAGAGACTTGCAATCATAAAATCATTACCTAGCTTTAGCTGAGCTACCATGAAAAGGCGCCAAAAGCATTCAAGGAATTTCTTCCTACCAGGTACCCATCTACCAATTTACCGCTGCAGTATGTTGGTTTCCAAAATCAAAGATATATTCCAAATACATGCTATTGCTAGATGGCACTTTAATGACCCAGTGCTTTTGTTCCCTAGTTCTTATGCAATATACATGTTCATAAAAATACAGGGATAAGTTACCCTTGATTGCAGACGAGAACAGCTTCTGCCTCTATTTTTATTCTTTTTTCTCATTAATAATTTTTTTTAGTGTCTTTACAGAAACGAGAAACCGCAGAAATTAGATTTTCAATGATGCAGTTAAGGATTCTTTAGCCTAGAGGATTCCCAAGTCAAGCCGTGATGTTAGAACGGTTGGCAGCATGGGTTCTCAATACCTATCTGGGAGAATATGTTGAGAACCTCAACACAGATCAGCTCTCAATAGGACTTCTGTCTGGTATGTTATTAACCCTTTTTGATACTATTGTATTTCATGTAAATATAATATATAGACCCATAGAGATGTGTTGGAAGAAAGAGAGTTTGTATTGAATGGGTTAAGGAATCCAGGCCAGGCTTCTAAGCATGTCATGTAAGTAGAAGAATTGAGAAGCTCTTCTAAAAAATGACTGGAATTCCAGTGACCCTATGTAATGTGTGAATTGTATTGCACGTATATCTCTTTCAATTATTACAAATGATTTTGTACATGTATGTTTGATATGCGACTAGCAGTGAAGACAAATTCTCAACTACTTGCAGCAAATATTCACTGGTTTCACTGTCATACAGGTATGTGTTGTTTACAGAAATATGGAATGCCCCAAAAGGGATGTAGAGCAGTATTAACATGTATTTGTGTTGCATAGTGGTGATCTCACAACCCATTGTTTACTGAATTCTCTAATTCCTATAGACTTTGTACAGGAACCACTCGGTTCCAGTAGGCAATGTGTTAATTTTCCATTTTGTTGTTGTTCAAATTCCGAGATTGAGTGATAACTCATCCATTTTTTTTTTTTAAATTCTTTAATACAGGTGCAGTTGAACTGGAAAATCTTCCATTGAGGAAAGATGCCTTGAAAGAATTAGACCTGCCCGTCGAAGTCAAAGCTGGTATGGATCAAGCTGATTTATATTGTCTGTTTAGAGCCATAAGGGCGTTAGCTCTGTGTTAGTTATATTAGTTCATATCCTTCTGGCTCAAAACAGATGTTATGACGTGTCTGTTCAGAAGCATTATTGTAAAACCAATAATTTTGACCACTGTTGTGAAATTTAGGGTGCTTTCCATTTTTATGCTACAAAATAAATGAATCACATCACAACATATTTGCATTTTATATAAGTCTCTTCTTTTCTTCAAGGTTCTGGTTTGACCATAGCTTGTGAAGATTATCCCCATCCTCTGCCACCGTCTCTAATTTGTTGTCTTTTTTTATTTTGTTGTCCCCTTTACTAGTTCTATTTATCTAAATCTGTGTTTTTAATTTTTTCATAATCCTTTTTGATTTACAGTTTAGGTTGTCATAAAAATGATAGCAATTTGCTTTTTACATGTATTTCTCTCTGTAACGAGTATTTCAATACTGAGTATACATGTATACATGAATTTAACTTCTCTATTGTTTCTTTTCAATTTAACTTTTTATTAAGTTTGTACAGTTTGATCAAAAGAAGAAAAAAAATGTGGGTTTCAACATCTAATTTTGCAGGGTTCATTGGAAAGATTCGTCTTCAGATCCCAGTCACGCATCTAAAGACGGAGCCATGGGTGATCTCTATAGAGAACCTGTACCTGGTAGCTGGTCCTGCTCTGAGGACCAAGTACGATGAGAAAGAGGAGGCCCCGGAACAGGACAGGAAGCAGCAGCAGCTGGATGCCATCGAGGCTCAATGGAAGGTAAGAAGATGATACATCACAAATTTTTATAATTTTTATCCAGAGGCATTATGTTTTCGAGCTGTCCGTCCGTCAGTACATCTGTACATGTACGTCCGGTTCTCGTGATCGCGTTATCTCAAGAACCAATTGATGGATTCGTGCCAAACTTAGGTCATGTATGTATCTTGCAGAGCCACTGAACTGATTAGATTTTGGGGTCACAAGGTCAAAGGTCACAGGGCTCAATATGTATGCAATAATAGCTCGTGGTCGCATTATCTTAAGAACCGATGGATAGATTAGCGCCAAACTTGGGTCATGTATGTATCTTGCAGAGCCAATGAATTGATTAGATTTTAGGGTCATGAGGTCAATGGTCAAAAGTTGTGGGGCTCATTATGTATTCAAAAATAGCTTGTGATCGCATTATCATTAGAACTGGCAGATCGATTACAATCAAACTTGAATTTAAAAAAATTGCTTCCGTTTTGGGTTGTAAAATCACCCTATGGCGGAGCACAGTCGAAGTGCCATCTACTTTTTTGCTGTTATAAGATGCATCCTGAAAATTCACTCTCACATGCATGACATTAGCATGCCTGTGCAAGTTTCTGGTTTTACCGCATCCATCAAATTGAGAGATGATGATACATTTGAAGACATTTGATGTCATTTTCCAAAAGATGCACTTCCAGAGCTGCCAACCATTCCGTTTTTGCCGGAATTACTCTGTTTTTCATCCAAATTTTTTTCATCGGAATTACGTTTTTTACGGGCTGATAACAGTATGTAACATCCCCTTGAGCCTATAAAAACAACTATCCCTCAAATATTAGAGCAGTCATTATATCTTTACTATTATTTCATTTATTGTAATCGCCCTTTCTAATGATACAAACTTCTTTTCTTGTACTTTTAGAGAAAAATGGAAGCCTCTGGTCCGAATGAGGATACATCTTGGTATGCATACTCTACAAACATCTTCTACAATGTCTTGGAGAATCTACAAGTAAGTCAGTCTCTCTTCATCAACCTACTCCTATCATAATTTTGGAAGTCATGAATGAAACTGTCTCAGAATCATATTGCCACTGAATATTGCAAAATGCAAGTAAGTATTTGCTGAATGAATTTGTGAAATTGGAGGGAATGCAGAGAAAGCACAGTTCAACATCCTCTGAATCAGACTAAGATCTTGTGTATAGATCTTTTAATGATGTTTGATGTTCAAAGACCCTGTCGGAATAAAAAATGTGAAATAGATAAATTTACATATCAACAGAAAGCTTATAAGCCAGAGATTGCAGCAATGTCAATTATAGGCTATTTTAGTGCCTGTCATAGGAGTATAGCTCTCTGAAAACTCAAAATTTAAAGCTTTGTAAATCGGAAGTAGTTGACTTTAAACCTAGCTATCGACTTGATGACATCATTTTAGGTGGAATACGCAGATTCACAATGACTTTGCATTAAATAAAGCATGGCTCATTGCCTCAGCTATATAGACGAGCAGATCGTGTTCACATGTAATGTCGTCACCGTAACTGCGGCCTAATTGACCCTGTTGACCCATAACTTGGAAGGAAAATGAGGTTTTGATTTGCTTTTGTTCAATACTGACAGAGAAAATATTTGTTATTGCTTTATATTTGTATTCTATGTTCATTCAGCTTTCCATCGGATAGGGTCTATTTACCTGTAATGCTCTGTACAATGCAACATGTACGGTTTATACGAAATGTACATCTATACTTTATGTAACATCATACTAATAGTACCGATTCATTACCTACCAGCATGTCCTAAAGTTCATCCAGTGGTCCATAAATAGCATATGCACGTTCAATGGTGCACTTTTTCCGACCTAGACTGACAAAAATAAATTTTAAAAGCAAACAATACATGTTGCCCCATACAGCTTATAACCATATTTAATTATTTGGTAACGTTTTAGGGGATATAATCAGAGCATGATAGATTATATGTACATGTATGCGACTTGTATGTGTCATCATGTATCGGGTACATGTAGATGAGTAATTGTAAAGTACAGTTCAAAGTTCAAATCAAAATTAGCAACAAGATAAGATCCAATCAGGCCTTACATTGTATCTTAGATTATTAGAATGTAAAAGTCAATACTATCAATTTTGTGCTGATTTAATATGTACTACAAAGGGGGAATCCACTAAAATACATTCCATTTACTGTAAATGCGCACTTTTTTTCCGTCGGCAAAAATAAAAAATCGGAGGTGCGCCTTATACACAGGTACAGAATATTTTGAGTCCTCAAAATGCTACTTTTTAGTGGTTTTCGATAAGCCTGAGTCGTTACGTTTTTTGTGCTAAACGTTTAACAAAACCTTGCCGATAATTATTGTTTTTAGAGCTCTGTAGGGGCAACAAAACCTTGCCGATTGGAACTAAGTAAGACCTAGTAATAATGTTGGTTTTAAAACTAAAGATGACAGATTTTTTAATTTTTTTTTTAATTTAGTCTTCAAAATAGGGGTGCGCCTTATACACAGAGATTTACAGTACATTTTTCCTTGTAGCAATTGTACTCCTGCATCTTTCTCTTACATCACATGTATTAACAAGTACTGGTATACTTATACTTGCCACTCTCCACCCAGGTGCACTAGTTACTTTGGCATCTCAGCTATAACTGGGGTAATAATGTTTAAAGATAAACTTGAGTTCTGGTAAAAAAAAGAAAATGAATTCTCACAGAATCTAATGAAACTTACACTGAATGTTCAAGATTACAAATAAATGTCATGTGCCAAACAATTTTGGAAGAAAATGTATACTGGCTGAGTAATGAGCATAGAAAGATAAGGAAATCAGGGTAGTACTAGCCCCGACACCATGTGTGTTGTCCCATATACATCTTTCTGTGTAAGTGATTGTTACTTTACCAAGACTCTGCCAAATTTATGATGATTTTGATGACTCCAGAACCTTGCATTACACATCATTACTTACATGCTATATGATCAACTTTTCTGATCCATTCCACACCTTTTCTTTCACAATGCAATCGCATTACCAGAACTCAAGTTTATCTTTAAGCGCCACAAGCATTACAGTGTGGATATAGGTACTACATAAAAAGACAATATTACAAGAGGGTAGAAATTATAATGGTATCTGATAAGAAATTGTATATTGGGCTGAAAAAATAACGTAAACATAATTCCTACACAAATATTGTGAGGCCATCCATTTTTTGGGGGAAATAAAGATTAAATTAGATTTGAATTTACCTTGATTAATGTCTTCATGGAAAGAGCTGGAGACAATAGGTGTTTAACATTGACTGCAATGTTAATTGAGATGAATTCTAGATTCTCTATTTATGTAGCAATAATGCTGTCGTCATTATTTTGATATACTTGTACTGTACATCGACTCTGAGCTGGTGAAAAGAATGTCAAAGGCCAGCAGTGCCTTTGGAAGACTGCGAACCAGGCTATGGAACAACCATCATGTCTCAACAAGAGTGAAGTGCAAAATCTACAGGGCTATCGTCCTATCCACTCTCTTATACGGTGCGGAAAGCTGGACTCTCTACACAAGTCAAGTAAAGAAACTTCACGCGTTCATGATGAGACACCTTCGAGCAATCATGAGAATCAGTTGGAAGGACAAGGTGACCAACAAAGAGGTACTAGAGCGAGCAAACCTTCCTTCTATGGAGGACCTGCTCATCAGGAAGAACCTACGATGGACAGGCCATGTCATCAGGATGCCCTCTGAGAGGTTACCAAAGCAAGTACTATTCTCGCAACTACCCGCTGGCGAAAGAGGGATTGGTCGTCCACGGCTTCGCTACAAGGACACGATCAAGAGGAACCTTAAGCGGAGGCAAATAGAAACCAAGACTTGGACAACTGCTGCAGGCCAGCGAGCTGTATGGAGAACAGCTGTAAAGTGAAAATGAAGGCGGTCATTGTCGCTTCGCGACAGACAGCTACTACTACTGTACATGAATAAGCCTTTCATGTGCGAGAAATCGTAACATTCCAATCTTCCAAATAATATTTTACTAATTGATACTACAATGGTCCTTTAGGTAACAGAAAACATTTTGTATGTAAATGCCATTCAATGGTATCGGAGAATGATCTCATTCCATTACCTCCTGCCCTTGTGGGATTGCTCTCTATATAATGTGTTAACCATTTGCCTACTGGAACCGGATGTTCCCTCCATTAAAGGTACTATGTCCCTTTTGCAGCCAACCTCAAATGCTGTAGAACTTTGCAGGAATTATGAATATGTCACGTATGTCCTATCTGTGAAATTTAAACATTAGCAGTGTCCTCATATTCAAATTATGCAAGGAAACCCATTTACTTGCTAGACTTCACTGTCAGACACTATTGATTGTCTGACTGGCTTTTTTTCTTCTTTGGTAATAACATACATGAAAAGAGTTGTAAAGGGTACATGAGCATTTGTCTACATCAATAACCCACTTCTTGTGATGGCCAAGACTAAACTGATTGAATCTTTGCGCAGCATAAAACGTATGACCATTCGGTACAATCGTCTGAAAATCAAGACTATTACTTTTGGGCTCTATAGCCCTAAAGTCAATTTGACAACTAATAGTCGTTATTTTCCCACTTGAAGACATTTTCAAGCCCCATCGTTTTTAGGGAAGTTCTAAATTAGTATTATCTTTCAAATGCAGTTGGAATTTAACTTTTACATTTTTTGGCCTGCAAATGGGACATAGTACCTTTGAGCCTATATACGGATTAGAGAATTCAGCAGTCAATGGGTTAAAGGTAATACAAAGTTTCGGTATGAGGTCATGAATTTGGTTCAAATGAACATATTGGAAGCATATACGATCCTACAATATTCAGTGATCGGTGTCGCGGTCGAAATCGACTCTAAAGTTATGAAATTTATATTGAATAGCTCCCTCTCAAGGTCAAGTTATTAATTAAGCTATAAAACAATGTTTATTGACTAAAATTGACTGATTAGCTATTCTCGTTCGAAAATTATATACCACAACTACATACTCTGAGATTTTCATGGTCACAGCTACCATTGTACGGCCGTAGGAGCTATTTGAAATTTATCAAAATTTACCGGGAGCACCGGTAAATCTTTATATTCAATTTTTCTCGAAAGCAGAAGTGTTTTAGGGGCTCAAATTTCTGGTGTTTTTAATACATCCACAGTGGCATCCAAATATATTAAAATTGTAAAGAATCACTATCCACCCATTTTTCAAGATTTCCCAAAACTTTGTATTACCTTTAAGTTTGATTATTTTCTGTGTTCTCTCCACAGCTCAAGATCAAGGATGTCCATATCCGGTACGAGGACTCGACCATCCTGCCCGGCATGAATCTAGCCTTCGGGATCACCATCAAAAGCATCTCTGCTGTCAGCACCGATGAGAACTATGTAAGTCTTAAAGCCCCACTGCACTATTTATAGCTACTTGTGCCCTCTATATAGCAAACAATGCCTAAGCGGTGACCGTTGGTCCCCCATGGTCCCCTTTTTCTTATGTTGATTGAGAGCTGATTTGATGAGATAACCACCTGTCAGTGACCATGCAAGGAGGTCTAATCCTTCCTGACCAAACTAGTGCAGATAGGCTTTAAACTTGTTAACCAGTGATATGATGTACAAAAGTAATCTTGGTTTAGTAAGCAGCAAGCTGACAACAGTTATCTACATTAGAAATTTTGTTATGAAAAATATACCGTAATTCTGGTATGCTGTGTATCATCAGCAGTTCCCTGAACTGATGTCTACATGTATGTGCATACATTGGTGAACAAAATTGAGCAGTGCCAAAATATTGCCGGAAAGTACTCTTTTTTTTTATATGACCTGTATGACATTTTTGCCAATTGACAATTCACATACACTACATTCTTGCCCAAAACTTAGTACATAGACATATATATGTACATATTCAACTCCAAAAGTGTGCACACAGTTCATAGAAATTTGATGGAAAAAATGGGTAGAAATTTACAAAGGGGGCACATTATGTGAATGTGGGAAAGAGCTGTATATGATTACTTCAACAGCAACAGTATAAAATGCTTAAATGGAAAAGGAAACCATGTCTCTTCACGACTGCATGCTACATCTGTAGTGAATGTCTGAGAGAGCATGTCACATAAAGGAACAATCCATGTTTACTGCATATGTATGATCTGATTGAAGGCCGCAGGATTAATTTGATACCTACAGTGTACCAGGCTTTAGAAGGATTATGTGACTGTATTGAGTTGATACAAACAGCCTGTACATGTACATGTACGCGTGCACATTGGAGACTTGAGATGGCAGTCATGTTTTCAAACTTACATGTTTTTGCTTCTTAAAGGTAATACAAAGTTTTGGGAAATTTTGAACATTGGTTGGATAGTGATTCTTTACAATTTTGATATATATTTGGATGCCCCTGTGTATGTGTAATATCTTGACCTTGAGAGGGAGCTATAAAATATAAAGGGATTTCAACCACGACAACGATCACTGAATATTGTAGGATCGCATATGCTTTCAATGGCCCTTTCAATATGTTCATTTGAACCAAATTCATGACCCCATACCAAAACTTTGTATTACCTTTAATACGCCCACCAGAGATATGAACTTCAAACTTGATGATAGTATGTACATGTACACCATAGGAAGACAATCTGATTCGATTTTGGAGTAACTAGGTCAAAGGCCACAAAGAGGGCATAGAGGAGACAGTCGCTTTTGTCTTGTTTTTTGATAATTTCAAGAAAATGTGATCATCAATCATGTGATTAGTCTTTAAGTTGACAAAGTCAAGGTCAAATGTAATTTCAGGTCTGCAAACTTAGACTTTGTTGTGGCATCAAAACATCAAGATTTTGAATTTTTAGCATAATTTCAAAAGCGTTTGTTCAAATTTCATGAAACTTGTACACAAGTGTTATCAAGTATCACAAATCATATGACACAGATTCCAGGTCACAAAGTCAAGTTCAAATGTCATTTTAGGTCAGTAGACTTGGATTATGTTTTCACAACTTAATATGAGGATTGATAAATCATTTTTTTTGTTATTTGTTCATATTCCATTAAAGTTATCAATCTCAGTACAAATTATAGTAAATAATTCTTCTGATGATTCTTAGTCAATATTCACTTCAAAATGCTGATTATATTCAGAGGATTTCATTTTGGGGGGCCTGCTTATGGGCCACCCTGCCTATAAACAATGTCCCAACCTCAATTTTTCATCACATTGAATTGCGTAATGCAGGCGAGACCGGCGAGAGCGTTTCCCTTGTTTTGTATTTACCATGTGTTACAGTACTTTGGTCAACACAATTTGTTATGAATCATTTAAACAGTAAACTGAATTTGAGTCTTGTATGCACCCTTGTAAGGAGATGAAATTATTTTTTGACTCATAAGGTCAGAGGTCAGAAGTAAAAAACCTTGATTAATCACAAAAATGATGGTTATCATGATATCACGCAAACATGACGGAAGGCAAAGACGACGGTAACGCGAGTGAAAAAATCAATCTGCGCACGAGCGAACCAGAATTTTCTCCGTCTTGTTGATTTTCACGACCGTTCTCGGCCATTATAGTTATATTCTCAAATTCTATTAGTCATATTAATAGTTTACCAATTTACAGATTGTGCAACAGCTAATTGACATGCGACAGAACGTCTGCAATATCGATCAAGATTATACAAGCCCCAAACCCGGCTATACAATTCATAACACAGCCCAAAATGCAGACTTGTATTTTAATGACTAAACTTTAATGAATAAACTGTACCAGGGGTAAAGGTCAATATGTCAAAGGTCATGGAAGTAAGAAACCATACATCAATTGTGCTTCGATCCAATTTATTGATATTGATTTAAACAAATCAGATAATAATCAAGTTTTTCAAGAATGAATTGATTGTAGATTTAAAATTCTAATAAAGTGTACCAAGTAGAACTTTCTTATCTTAGTACACGATTATATGTTATCCCAATAAAACATGGAGCAAATTCGTTGATCATACACTTAGAAAAATGAATTAAAGGATATTTTAAAGACCTGCTCATATTGGAAAACCTGTAGATGATTGCCAAAGTACTAATATCACCTGAATGATAAAACCATTGCTAATCATCATAAGAAATTAAGAATAATATTTAATCATAACACATTCATTCTACACATTAGAAAATATTAAACAGCTCTTCTGTTGTTGAAATATACACAGTAATTATATCTTTTTAAAGAATTAATTATTCCTTAATTGCAACTAAAACTTGTGGTACAATTTAAAATATAAATAAAATCACAAATAGAATCACAACCAGATAGATAACAACGGTAGAAATAATGTACACAAGTTTTTTAAAAAAACTGTAGAATCTGATACATAAATATACAAACAACAATGTACTACAATCATTCCATGACAAATTATCAAATAAATTAACGTTAGCTCATAAGTACAGCATTTCATAATAATTGTATTTAACATTTGAAGTAATTAGGGTAGGTTTGTCTATAAATTGAGCAGTTTATAATGAAATCAATAATGATGATGGATAAAACACAGATCACCAATATTACATAGATTCAGAATGGAGTTGTGAGTGATGGTAGCGTGTATTGTCTGTTGAGAGACAGAAGGGGGTTAACTCATATTCATTACATAGACCCAACACCCTCCCAACTCTCAGCAGACGATATGTCATATAAATCTTGATAAAATCAAATTAAGGAATTAACACACTGAGCCTAGAGTATGGAGTATGAATTCGGATCTGGTATACATGTACAAGTAAAAGTACTTACCGGTAAGGGAAGTGGAAACTTTCAGAAATATTTAATTACAGCAATCTACATTCCATAACGTAGTCTAAAAATGCACAGTATTACATTTCCACTACATGTACCTAGTAGTTGTAGGCATTATCATCATAAATCTAAACATACTACATGTAGGTCAGACATTGATGCTTCAAAATAAAAAAAAATACTTAAAGATGAAGTTGAGTTCTGGTCATGCGATTGCATTGTGAAAGAAACGGTGTGAAATCGACCAGAAAAGGTTGATCATCTAGCATATACATGTAAGTATTGGTGTGTATTGCAAGGTTCTGGAATCATCAAAATGATAAGAAATTTGGCCAAGTTTTGGTAAAGTTACAAACACTGTACACAGAAAGATGCATATGGGACTACACGAACACGTGGCGTAAAAAACCTACCCCCAAGTTTTATGAGTTACATGACATATTTAGAATATAAAGGCATTTGAAGAGCCAAGCTTTTCAGGAAACATGTCTTATCTGATGTTCTTCCACACTTGCATAATAAGAATGATAACGCTCACAAATTATTTTTCACCTCTTCCCAGAACTCAACCTTATCTTTAACAACTCTTATATTGTTAAAAATACGTATATATTTACAATCTTGACCATTCATACAGTATTCTTTGTATTATTATGCCTCCTTTGTTACATGTAGAAGTTGTACCATTAAACATGTATATTTAGCAACAAATTCATTCTCCAAATTAAAAAAGGCTATCAAACACCTCTTCAGTTGTCGAAAACACTCAAAATTCACGAGTCAAAGTTGTTTCATATTTCACAAAAAGACAGAAATGTAAATTTGACAAGTTACAGAGAATGAATAATGTACAGTTAACAACTATATTATTCATACGCTTATCAAGTTTTGTAATTTTTCAAATGTGTGAAAATAGATTTGTCCCAAATTATTTTACTTTAGAATGTGACATATTACATCTAAAAGTATTCAATCAGTTCAGCTTATATTCTTGAGTTACAAAAAAACCCACAGAAAACATCAAATTTTCAAGGGGTATGAATTTTAAAAATTAGTTATGTTCAGTTACGAATTGCAGCAGCTTGATGTTGTGGGTAAAGTAAGGGACAAAATACCTCGGACTTCAATACACATATAGGACAAGGGAACTGCGAATGTGGCCTTAGAGGCATACATATTGATTATTACACATGCAGTTCTCAGCCCTTTGCCGGTAATCAAATTTGCCAATATTGTTTTGGAGGTTTTTAATGTTTGTTGGATGACAATTAGTTTGCCTTGTGGTGAATAGTAACGGTCGTGTTAAACAGGAATAACACTATTGATCACCTTGTTGCCTCTCATGCTCTTTCCAAACTGAGCCCAGAAGAGTTCCTGGCCATCTCCATCCTCTGTCCAGAGCATGTAGGGTTTGTTCTTACTCATGAACAACTGGACCAGGTACGGGAGATCATCATCCTGGATGTCCTCAAGGAAAATCAGTATGACCTTGTCCAGTCTGGTCTCATTGAGGTGCTCTAAGGCTATGCGTAGCTTGGTCAGAAACCAGGCTTCATCCACAGAGTTGTTGCTTATTAAGAGGACAGTC